GTTACTAGCATGGGGTACCTAATAAAGTGGCCGGTGAGTGTATATATAAAGAGAGAGAGAGACAGAGAGAGAGAAATTACATAAGTTGAACTCAGTTTTTTCTGCAGCATTTTATTTTATTTTAGTCTACAAAGGGCAATACAATTGCTTAAAGTACCTCTCATATATATACATAGGGTCCGGAGTGTACCTGAAAAAGAAAAAGGTCCATTTCAAATTTGACTTTTAAATCCTAAAATTTAAAATCCTATTTGTAAAGTGTTTGTTAATTTTATATTTTAAGCTCCCTCAATTGTCCTTTTGTGAACCAAATGTGGCAATCTAACCAACAACAGAAGAGCTGGTTACTGAGGAGCAACTGTGATGGGACCAGAAAGGTCATGGAAAAGGTAAATGGAGCGGGTAAAGCAAAAAGACAATAACTGCAAAAGGGATTTGAAAATGCAAGGTGAAAATGGAAACAGAAATAAAGCATAACATTTTTAAATGTGTGATAAGGACAGGTAATTGGGTTGATGTTGCAAAAATATGAATTGTGTTTTTTAAATAATCATTTAGAAATAGGATTTTAAAGTACATTTTCAACATGCAGTATTTAATATTTGAATAATAAATGCAATTTACAATTCCTCTTTAATATTTTTCTTTTTAAAATGTAAAATTGATTTGAATGATTCAAATGGTAAATTTTCAAGTACGGTAGTTATTTTTCTTCTTGGGCCTCCATACTCATAACCCTTGCCACTTTACTTGTGTGAGGACAGTTCACCTCAAACTGCATCGCTGGTATTTCCCCTCACAGTAAACAGAGACAGCAGCATGAAGGAATTCACCTTTCCCCAGACAGGATGCTGACACACATGGTTTTACCCTTGTTCAGGGGCGGATCTAGAAAAATATTTATGGGGTGGCAAGAGGGGGGCAGGAATTTTTTAGGGGTGGCAACATATGGCATTTGTTTACACTGAATTTAATCACAGTTATCACAGTTTGGAGAGAATAGTATGTACAGTACTAGTGTTTCATGTGAAACAGTTCATATTAATAATACATCGTACAATGTGATCTCACTTAATAGGTGAGAAGAATGATAACATTACTTCTAGAGGGGCCTTATGACAGGAAAGATATTAATGTAAGACACAGGTGCTGAGTCGCAGATGTGTGAGATTGACTGTCAGAGAGGCAGCTTTGCAGCATTTGCACAAGAAGAAACTATAGAAAGAAAAAGTTTCCCATCAGAGATCTATGGACTGAGCTGCACTAAAGTGAGCAGAACTACACAGTAGAAATAAATGGGTCAACGCACCCGAACAAAGTACTGGACATCCATGTATTGTTTACTCTGAACACACATTTACCCCATTTTTTCCTCAGTAACTTGACATACAGCAGTTAAGGCAACATGAAAGGGACATTTCATGCATGTAAATATGCTGTAGATAGAGCTGTATATGGAGGACCAACTCTGCCATATTTAAAAATAAATACAGAAATAAATAAATGCTCAATAAATAAATAAGCATACAATTAATTGCCACCAAAAATACAATCAACAAATAAATGTAATTAGAAATTATATTATAATGGCAGGCAGAAATGTTAAAAGGGCAGGCAGAAAGAAATAGCGGCGAAGAAATAACTAGGGTAAAAAAATACAAAGGAAGAATAAAACAGACAAAAATATTATAACATGCACATAAATAAATACTTAAAAATATAAGTAATTAAAAAATGAAGTTAAAGATAATAAATGACAAAAAAATAAATAAGGTAAATATTAAAAAGGCAAAGAAATAAAGAAGCAAATTAAAAGAGTTATATACCTTTATGACTAGCTGTATAATTTAATTTCTACTTACATTTATTTGTTGTTTGTATTTTTGGTGGCAATTAATTGTATGCTTATTTATTTATTAAGCATTTATTTATTTCTGTATTTATTTTTAAATATGGCAGAGTTGGTCCTCCATACTGCTGTATCAACAAATCAACAAAAAGGCGGGTTCTGTATGTTACATCAAAATCTCCACAAATCTGAAAAGAAGAGACATAAAAATACATTTTGCTTGTGAGTAGGTTCATACGGGTCATTTCTGGATAGTTTCATATTATATATACAAAAAAGAAACAACAACACTGCTTCATATTAAGCAGGGTTTACACCAGTATCACATTTTTAACTTTTAACACTTTTGGTTTTATTAAAGGAAATATCAGATTTTCTCAGGTGCCAAAACAAAATGTAGCAGCTCTGTAAAGGTTCACTAGAGAGCATGACATAAAGTTAACATGACTATAACAGCTGAATGCAGTGATTTCCATGTTGCTCAGCAAAACGCTTCACAACTTAATTTAGATCCAATGACTTTGTGCGTTTTGATTTGAGTTCAACCAAACTTGATCGTCTCTTTTCTGTCATAGTTGACCGCAAATATGTCTTTATGAGCCTGAGACGTCAGGCCTAACTAACATCATAGTTAGAGAAATAACGTTCTGCAACCTGATTTTTATCATCTCAAAATCAGCATTGCAGCTATGCTAGCAACATTGTGCTTTCATTATGATTTAATTTCTCGATAGATAGTTAATCAGTTTTTACCTGTTTCATCCTCTGTCTCCTCTCCCCATCACCCCTGGCTCCCTCGCTTTGCCCCATTCGGTTTTCAAAACTAATCAGTCTAGAGTCGCTCTCGCGTCATCTCGTGCTGCATTCACTGCAGTCCGACATTGGAAATTAGCGGTCGTAATTCTCAAATGATCCATAATTTATAAGCCTCGCCACCCCTACCGCCAACTGGGGTGGCAGCAGGGTGGCAAGGCTGTCATTTAGGGTGGCATTTGCCACCCTATGCCACCCCAGTAGATCCGCCTATGCCCTTGTTTAAAATATGTAACCCAGGTCATATGAATAAAGGGGGTTTCACCAAAATGTTCTATGTTGTCAGTAGGTGGCGCCAAAGCTTAACTATTAAGGTTTAGGTCCAGCCAATGGCTGCTCTGACTATAGTGGTGTCATATTAGATGTGCAAATGAACTCAGTAGGATGAAGGAACAGTGAAGGTCTACAAGTATCATCCGTGAACACAGATAGATGGCCTATGGCTCAAAGCCAACAAACATATTTTTTCTGCATGAATTCAACAGCAGGAAAGTAGTTCTGGCTGCTTGACCTCTGTCAGCAAACTCCTTTCAGGTGGATACAGTCCACATCTGGGTTATGCGTCACTGTGACTGTGACTAGACTGATGGAAAAAAAAAATTGCCTTTCAAAAAAACTGCCCTGCAAAACTATTTACATGTTGATTTTTTTACCTTTTGCCACATTTCATTTCAATTTAAAGTCAAAATGACTGTATTATTAACAAAAAAAAAACTTTCTTTAGAATAATCAGAAACTTGACCTACTGTTCTGTTTCACAGTTTGACCAATCTGAAAAGGACTGCCGTTAGAAATCAGGAGATTTGGAATTGGAGCCTGTCTGTGTACAAACAGCCATTTGAAAGAGAACCTACATGGAGACACACGATTAACGCTGCATTTAAATATAAAGAGGCCCACGTTAACAATAGCTATTAGTTTTGAATTTTTACAGAAGTCTGGCATGATGAAGAAAATTTACTTCAAACCATATAGGCAAACAACAAACATGTTGAAGAGGTCTTGATCAGATGAGACTAAAATTCAACAATGGCTCTCTGTGGTAGGAAACTAACATTTCGCATCACTCTGAACTCAGCTTTCCTAATAGGAGTGATGTTGTCAGTATCAGGCTGTGGAAATGCTCTGTGTCATGATGCTACAAAAGACTTAAGACTTGGATAGAGGTTTAGCTTCCTGTGGTGTAAAAACACTAAACATACAGGCCGAAGTCAAATTAATATATATCTATAATAGCTGAGTCACAATCCAGACCTAAACCCAACAACCTGTGGCAAGACTTGAAAAATTCATATGATGTCTATCTGACAACATCATATGTTGTCTATCTCATGTGATAGGTGTTTTTTTTTCAACAGAGAATAGGCAGAGTTTAGTCTCTAGACGGGCAAATCTGATGGAGACCTATGACCAAAGGCTTTAAGCCGTAATCGTACCAAAAGGGGGTCCTACAAAAAATTTACCTTGAGGTCTTGAATAGAAAGTTGCATTACATTTTCCAGAGGCTGTACTGAGAAGGAAACATTTCTCATAAACTCTTTTCCATTATGCACCAATTATATTAATCTACCATAGACTCACCAATTAAAATTGATAAAAGTTTGTCGTTGCAAGGTAACAAAGCATTATAAAACTAAGGCTAAAGGCTTCTCCTATTTGACTGATGCTCATGCTAAAACTGAACTGACAAATACCTAAACTCAAAAACATATTTTCCCTCTCTTTTGAATTGCAGCTATGTTCAAGTTAAAGTGATCAAATATCCGTTCTGACAGGGATCCCAAAATGTATACAAAAATACAGATGTTTTTCTACTATTGATGTAACTCAAATTTACTTTGTGAATCATCTTTTAAAACACCACTTTCTTCTTAAATGAAAACAAATCCATAACAATGCTAATTGGAAAGAAACTTTGCTGAGTAGGAAAGATTTGGGAACCTTCAGGCCTCTTTCGCCATATGAAAATCAACAAAGAGCTTCCATATAGAGGTAAATCTGGATATGCCATTAGAAGCAGCTCTTTATGGCAAATGGTAACCTTCCAGTGATTAGTGTAACCTGACAATTCATTGTAGTTATATTATGAATAATAATAAAAAAAAGAATAACGAATGGTTAATATGGATTATTTCTAGCAAGGTATATATTGTGCTTCAGCCAGTCTGAGAGAAGCAGATCTCATTGTGTGCTGGCCGATGTCATAAACAGATGTAAAATTGGGGGGCCCTGACTTCCTGTGGTACTTATAACTTTAGCCACTCACTAACAAAATACACTCAGACACAATGAGATCCATTACAGGAAATGAAAACCACACAAAAAGTCTTTGTATTCATTTAAAATGTTTTTTTTATTTATTTATTTATTTCTTTTATGAAAAGAAAGGATATGCTTGCTTTAGAATGTAACAAAAATGATATAATTTATAGTACAGATGTTACAAAAAGGTCAGAACGTCTACTACACACATTACTGTAGAAAGTAACACCTCGTTCTGTTGTTGAAAATTACAAAAACGTCCTCGGCTCTGTGGCTAGTTTTAGCCCGAAGATGAGTTCCTCCCTTAGAAGCAGAAAAGCTTTAGGCGAACAGATAAGAGATCTGACTGTAAGAGAAACCATTACAGATCCTAATGTGCTCACTCACCATCCAGCTAATTCAAGAGCAGTCACAGTTAGACTTATCACCATGTTGCAACAGAAAGAAGTAATAATATTTTTACAAGTGCACACTCGTCAGAGCACAGGTGTGTTGACATTTTGCCATTTTCTTTTATTCTGTACGTGTAGCAGTTTAACTGCAGGTGTATAATAAGCATTTTTCAGGAACCGGACACCAAAGACCACCTATTTCCAGTAGAACTGCTTCAGCACTCAGTCATTTCTAAAGTGCATGTGGGGGTGTTTTGGTTCGCACCTTCACTCCCACAGCGATACCACAACTTTCACGCTGAGGTGTGTTTTTTGATGCAGTGAGATGCAACTTTCCTGCTTTCTGCCAGTCTACTCTCAACTCATTTGCAACACAAACAGTGTAGGAGGGGGCGAAATGAGCATATCTGAACAAAACTGATGCGCCTTGGGATTTCGAACCAGCAAAATCCAAACATCTGCAAAGGCATGCATCACAGATAACAAGTGCTGTATTAAAAACACTTCAAAACCAAAAGAAAAAAAAACATGTTCTGTTCTTTTTCTTATTTGTACTAATCTACTGAACCTTTTTTAATTAATAACACAAGACTTGTTACCCTCCAAACATCGTATGTCCACGGTCTTCTTCTGTTTAGGTCTCAAAAGGTTGGTCATTATTGTTTTAATCTAGCACAGAAATATATATTGGAAAAAAGGGACATTTTAGATGATACTTCCAGTCCAAAGATAGTCTTAAAGGTGCTGTAAATCAGGCTTTGTTAGTTTATTTTTAACTCATACCACCATCCTAACCACATTAAGACATCAAGAGATGTGTTACTACCAGTCACCGTCGATCAACTTTTCAAATTGTTTAGACAGCAATATCATCTTTTCAGTCTTTTTTAAATGAAGTCTGCTCAGAGGTCTTAACATGTCCCTTTGTGCCTCTACTGCAGTTCATGCCAACAGCTTAATTAGCTTTCAAATTTGCCCCACAGCTGTTTCTTTCTTTAGAAGATCTCCGTTGTGCAGTGAAAGATGCTTTCATAGTCTTTTGGACACTTGATCTGAGAGTCTCACGACTTGAAAAGTTTGGGATAAAGGGCTTTAATTGTGGATGGAGTGCTGATTGCGTTCCCCGAGGAAATGGTCGTGTCTAGTCCATGTTCTAGTTTTTGAGAAGGCACCTCGGTTTTACTAAAACTGCACTCTAAAAACGGCATCCCCATTCTCTTCACCTGCCCATCTGAGGTCATCAGACATGACTTACAGAGTAGCCTAAGAATGGCTCTTCGCATGTCCTTGCTGGTCAGAGTATAGATGATTGGGTTGATGAATGAATTGAGGATTGCTACTCCCAAGAAGTAGTCTGCCTTTTTTAACAGTTTACATTGGCCTGTGGGGCAGAAAAAGTCCAAGAGAAGGAGAATGAAAAGGGGACACCAGCAAGCAATGAAGACACCAACCACAATGGTGACAGTCTTGAGGAGGGCGATGTACTTCTGCGTCACCCTAGCAAGGCTGTTCCTCATGCTGGCCTTCAGACACAGCTGCTGTCGTCTTGTGTTGGTGCGGACGATGCGGAAAACACGGACGTAGAGCACCACGATGGCCAAAAGCACTGCGCTGAACACAGACACGCTAAACAGAATGTAGCTTTTGGCATAAAGTGGGAGCACCGTTGAGCACTGGTCCAAACGGCGTATACAATTCCAACCCAAGATCGGGAGGACCCCCAGAAACGCAGACAGAGCCCAACTTCCTCCAATTAGTGCCATCATCCTTCCCCGCTTTGCACCATGATAAGGACGCATTGTAACCATGGTGACGTGGCGTTCAATTGCAATGGCCAGCAGGCTGATGACAGAAGCAGTCAGAGTGATGAAGACCCCTCCTTCCCTGAGGAACCATAGCAAAGGTGTCAACCTCAAAGTATTGTGACCTGACATCAGGATGTTGGCCATATAGGTGATACCAGCCAGCAGATCTGACAGAGTCAGGTTACCCAGCAGGTAATACATGGGAAGATGGAACTTTTTGTTCTTCCAAATGGCAATGAGCACAATTGCATTCTCCACGATGATGAGCAGGCAGACTACAATTAATGCAATGCTCTCTGGTTTCAGGGAGTCACGGTTATTGAGCTTGTGAGTGTAGTTGTAATGCTGACAAATTACAGATTTATTGTGGTAGTCCAAGAAGAAATCAAAGTAGCCAGGAGATGAGGAGGATGAGTAGGTGGAGGTCATCTGTGTCGAGGATGTAGCCCCTGCAGGGTCAGAACATGACGCACCCATCTTGAAGTTTTCTCTTTACCTACTCTGCCTGCAACTATTTTTATGATTTCATTTTGTTGGTAGGAAGATGACAGTAGGAGCAGGGAACATAAGCAGAAAGGGGCTCGACTCCTTCAGCGGATGGAGATGAAAATGATGCTTCCCGGGTCGGCAGAATCCAGACAGAATATTTTTCTGTCTCACCAGTAGACGGTGCTCTTGAGCTCTGATTGGTTGTGGGGTCCACTTCCTAAAGGAAACACAAACAGATATGAATAAAATGGGAATAAATCATGCACCCAAATGAATTTCACATATCTAAATTGAATATACATACATTCTGAAAGAATGTACATGTATTTGGCCTGATCAGTAAAATATGTTGCTCTGAACATCAAATTACAGTTTGCGTGACTAATGAGATGTCTTTGCAGTCATGAGGTAGAATTTCATATTAAAAGTCAGAAACATGCTGTCAAATCACCCCTCTTGTTATTCCAGTTATGTTTTAAATCTGTATTGTTCAGTTGTAAAAAAACATAAATATGACATAGACTTGTAGGAGAAAAAACACAATTTCTATAACTTGTTGGTGATTTCCAACACTTTGTTTTTCATTTTTCTGTGTTCATTTATTTTTCAGGTAATATACCCATAAAACAAGAAACTTTTAAAAACAGGGATGTTCTAAAAATGTTATATATGTGTTTAAAAGAAGTTTAAAAATCCCTTGTAATCTAGGTTGTAACTTTATTTTTTAGGCTAAAGGCTGGTATCATATGGTTTATTATTCCTTACTGTGTGCTGAAAAGATTCTAGAAATTAATGCAAACTGTTCAAACTTATGTTGTTTGAAATCCAATGTTAAAGGGATTCAGTTTTCACTACAGAGCATGGTTCGAATATGTAATCGTCAAACTATTTTAGAATTCGGATTTGTCTCTAGAGCTCTTTTCAACACTAAATATACAGGATGACGGATTTCGTTACGCTTTCATTTGCTTTAGTATTAAAATTCAGTCCTGAAGTTTTTATTGACCTAACTTTTCTTTTTTGTTAAACATCTATTGTTGTTATTGAAGCACATTTTTCTTTCTTTTGTAAAATCATCACAGTTATATTCTATTTTATTTATTATATCTTTATTTAACCATCCAAAGTTATGTGATTTAAAAAGAAAACACATACTGTAAAAAACACAGGAAAATAGAGTCAGTGTTGAGAACTTTAGTTTAAGGGTAAAAGCACATAATGAGATAAATCCAGTTAGAAAAGTGGTTACAGTAAATTTTCCTTACACACAAACCTAATCTATTATGAATCATAAAAAATATGCATCTATGTGGGAAATATCTCAAGTTGTTAAAAGTTATTAAACACAAACTTTTTTTTACTTTAACATATTCCATCCAACTCTAAAAGCTTTAAAGTGAATATTACCTGGGAATGATGTTGCACTGAGCTTATCCTCCCGTTCATCTGCTAATTTCACTCAAGAGAATCCAAACACGAACAGCAAGTTGGTCACCTTCAAACTGACAATGCAGAGGGAGTGAAGTCTTCAGTTTAAACATGAAACGGCTTTGGGGGTTGGTCTTAACTCTGTCTCTCCGCCTCACATTCTCTCAAACTGGCTTTCACCCATCGTAACATACGCTGCACACAGAACAGAGGAATTTCTGCCCCCTTTGAATCTGATGCCACCGTTATTGGAATCCTTCAAATAAAACTTATTGATCTGACCTACATACATGATGTTAAAGCTCATACGATATTTCTCAGCAGTTGCCAAACAGGAACCACTGATAAAGGGCAATGCCGCCTCTTATCAATAGTGAGACTTCCTATCCAGATAAGAACCTGTCATACCAAGAAAATTTAAAACACCTTGTTATTTCTAAGTCTAGAGCAGGCTCACAACCTAAGTAAAATAAGCAGATGCTTAGGGCACAAATACCCACAAAGGGTCCTCGGGGTCAATAAAGTAATTGCACAAGTCATGTTTTTGAAATACATCTTTTTGTCCTTGCTGGTGTTTTTTAGAACTAGCTTTTATAAACCAGATATTTACATGATTCCATCATCTAACCTATACAGGGATTAATAGTTTTTAGAACTATGTGAATTTTTCCAAAAAGTATTGACTTTACTCGGAAAACGACTTGCATTTGGGTTTAAAGTCTGTTAATGTAAAATAATTACTAAGTTAACTTATCTCGCAAAATTATACATCATCTGTTGCAGATGTTACTTGCCAGAACGTGACCATTTCTGTGGTTTGGCCTGAAATTCCTCCGGGCGCATTTCTCTGGGTACGCTACATTTGTTTCCTTCATATCCAGTTAACCAGTTTAAGATGGATTGGATTTTCCCATACAGGTAAATTTACCCAGTGCAATCTGCACCTGTCAGTGGTTCAGTAAACAGAAAGATTTTCTGTTAATCTTTTTTTCTGTTTAAGTCAGTGTTTTCTGTTTGCTCATAATCTGTGGGCCTTTTTTCCCACATTGTTGCAGTTACCTTGGTTTCCTCTGTCTCTATCATTTATCATTTCAATTACATGTATATATCCAGCAACATGTGTCTGCCAATATCCTGTTGCCTTTTTACTCCTTTGCCAACATAAAACCGTGACAACCTGCCATGTACACTAAATTGATGGCTATGTTAGATGATGATGTCAAAGAGATATATGATGAGCCGTGGAGTTGGATGCTTTTGGGAAGACTCCCCTATATCAAGTTCTTTTTAGGGCCCCACACAGACTTTGATAGCCTCTGTGTAAATCAATACTTATCAAACTGGACTGACAGAGATCTGTTAAGATAAAGTTCCCTTATCAGAGATAGTACTGACAGCTGTTTATACTTGGATAAAATTCTATCAAGTATTTATTTTTTCTAGTGTTTTGTTAGGGCAAGATTTTAAAACGTTGGAGAAACCTTTCTGGAAGAACCAGTTCAGAAAAGAAACGTCTCTGCAGCATTTTCCCAAACTCTTCCTCGTAAAAGCAGCATTTTCTCCTTCCTTTTCTACATTTACTGCCCACAAGCTTATATAAGAAACAACTGGTTTTATTGGCAACGATTACACGTCCATGTTGAAATCTAAATTCCCAGAGCCCGTCAGCAAGATATCCGCAAGTTTTGACATGCCTCCCTGGTTCACCTGTGGAACTCCGCCTGTAGGCGCTGTGCAGGATTTATCAGGACAAAACAAAGCAGGTGAGAGGTGACAGATATGCAGGAGAAGCCAGAAAAAATAAGCTGCTCCTGGTTTGCTATCGTTTTCTAAGCTTGGGGTTCTTTAGGATCGACATGATGCTGTGCATGAATACATAAATGTGAAACAGCTGTGACTCTTTTGCATTGTGTCTTCTCATTTGGGAATCCTACTCTAAAGCCGGATGCTCTTCTGACACATTGTACCGCAGCAATGCCTTATTCAAACAGTGGTTTCCTTCTACCGAACTGGTTTTTTGAGATTTTACCTGGTTCAGCAGATGGATCATTTGTCTCCTTTATGAACAAACTGTACCTAAACAAAGGATTTTTACCCCCTTTTTGGGTCACACCTCTTCTGAATTTCTATATCTCCCATGCTCTTTACCAGCAGCCTGTATAGTGACAGGGTCAAGTGGCTGCTCTCTGGACTGATAAAGTGTGGAATGGTTTGACAGTTACTGATACCACAGTTTCTGAGGATGTCAGCAGTTGACTGGACGCAGATGAAGGCGTAACGGATAGTCAGAGCAAGTCCTGTGTGTCTCTGAGTGCTGATCTGACGTAGACTGGCAACCTGCCCATGGTGTATCCTACCCTTCGTCCAGATAGACGACAGCCTTAAGGACAAGAGGATACAGAGACGCAAATGTGGAAAAGTTACCTCCTTCTCACTGTTAGGTACTGTGAGGTGAAGAGATACAGTTTTCTGTTTTTTCTTTTTTTACAATAAAGGGAAATTCAACACAGTAATCAATGACTAGTAATAACTAAATTGATAATTCAGTTATGTTTATTCATTTGTCACCCATTAACTATTAATTTAACTTGTTGTGTCGGCTTGAGTATTTTCTGGGCTATTTATGTGCATCTTTTTGGATAAATACCCGGATGTTTTATTTTATAAGACAAGATTGCTATCAAGAGTAATATCCTGTTGTGAAAAAAGCCGAAATGTCCCATTAGAGTCAAAAGCGATGAAACAGAGCTCTCAAACATAAATAAGTAGTTTAACAGACTTCTTAGAATGAACAGGAAGGAAAGGTTGACTTTTGATCTCTTCCTCTTGACAGTTTTCTCCCTACTCAGTTTTGTCTGGCTCTCCCTTTTTTGCTCTTTTCCCCTGTCTGTTTCACATTTGTATATTTTTTTCCTCAGTTTACAGATCATCTTTCCCTTCTGGGCTTTTTTTCTATATAGCTCTATGGAGAGACATGTGCCCTTACCTTTATCTGAATTTATGACTTTTTATCTACAAACCTCAGAGTATTTAATAGGGATTTTATGTGATAGACCAACAAAAACATAAGATGTATGGAATTGTGAAGTGGAGGTTTTCAAAATAATCTGAGAAATAGAAATTTGAAAAGTGTAACATACATAAGTCCGTAATTTTTAGGACTACTTCTCCCTGATATTAAAGCTGAATGTCATTCATGTTTACTTAAGTCTGAGAGTTTTAGCAATTCTTCTTATCTCAGTTCAGATTGGTAGAAGGGATTCACTATGTTGTCGTCTTAAAGGAGATTCTAAAATAGATCAATTTCTGGGCTTTGTTGATATAAACAATTTATTTGAAGCTCAGGCTTTAGGTTTTCAGGGTTTTTATAGTCTCTCTTAGTTTTTCATGTATCATCATATTTGGAATGACTAGAGGCTTCAACAACCCATGAAAACTTATACCTTAACATTATAAAGTCCATGATGTGGGGTCCTTGAGGACACCCCAGGAGAGCCTATGCATTTTCCTCTGTATTTAGCTCCAAACATCCTTCCATCAGCTATAACCAGTTTCCTCCTCCTTAAACATCCCAAAGCATGATGTTGCCATTATCATCCCTACTGTTAGGATTGGTGATGTGTCAGTTTAACTGTGACTTTTTC